ATGTTTGCAGGGTGGTGGGGGCTCCCCCAACACAAGCAGCTGCGCTGATGACCCTGTCACAGCCTCCTCCAGAAGGAGCACTCAGTGTGTGGGGTGCTGGGCTGACTTTTGCGCACATCTGACTTTTGACTCTTCCAGGTCAAGGGTTAAAGGTCAAGGCCGCGAGGGGCAGGTTCAGGAGGAAAACTGAGGCAGAGGGGGAGGCTCACCCCAGGTTGCACAGCCTCATGACAGCAGCTCCGAATCCCTTGCACTGGCCCAGGAAGGAAGGCAAAGGTGGTGGGAGGCGGGCAGAGGTTGGCTTGGCTGGGCTGCCCTCTGCTCCACTGACTCCCCTCATACTTGGAGCTGCCACTCCGGGCTGCACAGTCTTTGCCAAGTGCGGGTTTCGCCATCCTCGGCAGGCCGGGCCCTGGGAAGCCTCCCAGAGCATGACAGAGCTGGTCAGGCTGGTGTGGCCAGGACAGAGCACCAGGTAAGGAGCACACACCAGGACTCCTCCGACCCAGGTTCAAATCCTGCCTCTGCCACCCACCTGCTGTGTGACCTCAGGCAAGGCACACCCCACTCTGAACTCTGGGCCCTTTTGTTTTTTCCTTTTGAAACTCCAGTGGCAAAGGCAGAATTGTTCAGTTCCTCACTGTACAACATGTTATTATGATTGCCTGCACAAAGATCCCTGCGTCTATTTATTCCCTCTAACCCCATGCCCTCCTCCCCTGCCCGTCATCTGCCGATGCTTGATGCATATCTTCAGTGGGGTTTTCACTTTAGTACTGAAGTTCAACATATGAACAGTAAGACTACACAAAGACACACAGCCTAGCGAGTCCTTATATGTATACTCATGCACACTGTATGTACGGTTTTTATATGCCCATGGGACCGCCCAAGGATTGGTCTGCAGCGCCCCAGAAGGAATCCTCAGGCCCTTTTCCAGGCAAGAACTCCTCTCCCTGCAGAAGGAACCACGATTGTGACTTTGAGCTCCTCAGCCTGCTTTGGAACTTCATGACAGAAGGCTCACATAGAGTGGCCTGGCTTCCTTCACTCAGCATACTAATTTTTTTTTTCAGTACTGGGGATTGAACCTAGGACTGAGCTATATCCCCGTACCTATTTTTAATCTAAGGTTGGTAGGGCTCGAACCTGTGATCCTCCTGCCTCAGCCTCCCAGAGAACTGGGATTACAGGTTTGGGCCACCACCCCCAGGCTACCATAATCCTTTCAAGGTTCATCTGTGATCTGCAGCAGTGAAGAGCACACTCCATGTGACTGCTGTGCACTAGTCCATTGTGTGGCCGAACCAAGATTTATTTATCTCCTCAGCTTTGAGACATTTTGTTAGTTTCCTGCTTGCAACTATTACGTCTAAAACTGCTACAAGTGCGCTTACAGAGATGCTGTATTCCTGTGTATCCTCTCAGGTGACTCGAAGCTCTGACTTGTCCCATAGCTGGCATAGAACTGTTAGAAGAATGGCATGAGACCCATCTCCGGGCTTGCTTTTTGTAGATGTGTTTTCATCTCTCGTGGGTTGCTGAAGGCTGGCTGTTTATTTTGGTGTACTTTTGAACTTGCAGAACAATGCCAACAGCTACAAGGAGCTGCAGGTGGACTTCAGCCACCTGGGGTACAGTTTGTCCCCTCTATTTATCCTTTTTCTATTGCCTGAATTGAGGGTCAATTGTAGACATGACATCACTTTGCCCTTAACCCTTCCCTCCATCAGACACACACACACACACATACACACACATGCACATGCATTCACACATGCACAGTGCTAATATCAGTTTGGGACTTCAATCACAGATGTACTATTACAGTACTATTGTCAAATCCAGGTGCATAGCCAGCCTCCCCTGACTGCCTGGAACCCCGAGTCTTTGGGACTCTCTCTCCAGCCCTTCTGCTGCTACCAGGTTCTTTCCACCCAAGCCAGGTCCTTCCTCAGTGCTCAAGACCTGGCCACTTGGAGGGTGACAGGCCCGTGTCCTACAGTGTGTCCCTCGCTCTGGGTTTGTCTGATGCTTCCTCACAATGAGCTTCAGCTTCTGCATCTCTGCAGGGACAGGGCCGAGGCAGTGACACAGCCATGAGCTGCCCCATTGTTGGAAAATGGGGACCAGGAAGGACCCCGCCCTCATGGAGCTAACACAGGATTAACAAGCCAGCCCGAGGCTGGCTGCGATTATGATCTCCCCATTCTCGGAGGGAGTGCCCAGCATGGGGCTGAAGACACTCAGGGCTGCCCAGCCCAGACCTGTCCCATGGCCAGTTCCTGCCCTGTGTCCCAGAACTTACACCCAGGGAGAGACATGGACGAAGAGGAGCCAGGAATTCTAGTCAGACCAGGCCCTGGGCCTGCGGATGCCGGCTCAGCCGGATCCCCTAGCTGAGCCGGGGCCTTCTCTGAGCCCACATGGGGAGCCCCTTAGCTCACAGGCCTCAGCCAGGCTGCGTACTCTCCACACCTGGGATTCTCAGCCAGGAGCAGTTTTGTCCCCAGCGGACACTGGACAATGTCTGGAGACATCTGTGCTTGCCACGTGTGGGGGACAGGGTGCTATAACTGGCATCCAGTGGGTGGGGGCCAGAGATGCGGGCCAAGGGCCTGTAGTGCCCAGCTCAGCACGAGGATGAAGAGCAGTCCCACATCAAATCCCAGTCCACAGAGTCCTCGCCAGGCAAAGCAGCGGTGGAGAGGACCTCGGCTCTCTTCTGCCACCCGCTTCCTACCAGGGCCCAGCTGGCTGCAAAGAAAAGGCATAGCAGGACCCTCCAGCAACATCTGGGACTGAAGGACAGGGTTTGCATTGTACAAAGGGGGCTCTGCCCCCCAAGTCTGGAGGTTTTGTTTGTTGTTCATTTTCCTGAGTTCACAAGGGTTCAAATCTGCACCACTGAAGGAGGTTTAAGGATGTCACAACCTCTGGGGACCTGGGGTGAGGGACCCCCAGGTGTGGCAGGAGTCCTGTCCTCAAAATACAGGTGCACAGGCTCCCAGTGGCCAAATCTGGGATGATTTTGTGGGGGTTTTTTTCAGCTAAACATTTATTGGTACATTTTAGATACACATAATGATCACACTCATCATCGGGAAATCTGGGATGATTTTGGCATATATATAAATTAACGGTGATGATGATGACATATTACAGCACAATGGATAAAACTGAAAGCCATGCACCCATGCTACTGATAAAAATAAATGAATAATTGAAAGTTTGATAATACCTCAGATATTTACACAGTTGCAAAGTCCTCAAGCACTAATTGCAAAGGAGGAGAAAGAGCATTACAAATGGGAAGCTGGGGGCCAGGGATTTAGCCCAGTGGTTCCGCTGCCTGCCTCGCAAGTGCAAGGTCCTGAGTTTGATCCCCAGTACCAAAAACACAAACAAATGGGAAGCTGGCAGGCAGCTCCTCTCCGAGTGGTCCAGGTGTAACCATCCAGCAGATGACCGGGAGAACACAGCCTCCCTGCCGTGATTTTCCTGCAGAGACGCAGGGCCTGAGTCAAACCACAGGAAATACTCAGTGAAGCCTAGAGGAGCACATTACAAAGCAGCTGCCCTGCATCCCCTGAAGCCCGAGGTGGCCTGGGGTTTGGCTCAGGGGCAGGGCTCTTGGGTAGCACATGCGAGGCCCTGGGTTCCATCCTCAGTCCTGGGGGGAAAAGGGGCAAGGTCGTGAAAGTCAAGAACAATCCAAGGAACTGGTCCAGCTTCAAGGAGATGGAGGAGATGCGGCTGCTAAATGCAATGTGTGAGTTCAACCGGATTCTACTGCCGTGCGGGAAGGTGGCTGGCAAGCCCAAAGGGTCTGGGCAGATGGCAGTAACCTACTGGGTTCATTTCCTGATGTTGATGCTTGTATTGAAATTCTGCAGGCAACACCCTCTTTTTTTTTTTTTGGTACCGGGGATTGAACTCAGGTCCTTGAGCTTGTGCAGCAGGTGGTGGAACCACTGAGCTAAATCCCCGGCCCAGCAACACCCTCTTTTGTCAGAACTATATATCCAAGTAAGGGATGATAAGACAACAGATCAGTGATTTATTCTCAAATTACTCAGAAAAAAAATATCTGTGTAGTATTGGTAATTTTTCTATCCCTTTGAGATCTTTCTTGAAAAGGTTTGTTGTTTGGGTTACTTGGGACAGGATCTCATTGTGTAGCTCAGGCTGACCTTGAACTCATACAGCCTAGGCTGGCCTCGAACTCACAGGAATCCTCCCGCCTCAGCCTCTTAAGTGCTGGGATTACAGGCGTGCACCTCCACACCAGGCTGAAGAGTTGTTTTTTTAAACACGGGGGTGGGGGTAAGAAACAGAATGAGACAGAGGTTTGAATATCATTAACAGGAATGAAAACAGATGCTCAGAGCCTGGGCTGTGACTCAGCAGGCTCTCCTGGAGCACCCCGAGTGAAGTACAGTATGTGTCTGTCAAGACAGCCCGGCAACATCATCTTGGCCTGGTTCTGCAACGCTGAGCACAAGAAACAATCTCGGTGTGTGTGACCACGCAAGGGACAAGTGAGTGACAGGGCATCCGAGCAGTGGGCCTCTGCTGGGCAGGAAAACGAACAGATGTGGTACACACAACAACTCGGGCCAATGTTACAGTCACAATATGGAATCAAAGAAGCCAGACACGTGCAGGTTGTGGTGCTGCACACCTGTGATGCCAGCGCTCAGGAGGTTGAGGCAGGAGGATCACAAATTGAGCCCTAGCCTGGGCAACTTCATGAATTAGTGAGACTCTGTCTCAATCAATCAATCATTCAATCAAAAAATAAGGACTTGGGGCTGGGGCTTTAGCTCAGTGGTTTCACCACCTGCCTCGAAAGCGCAAGGTCTCGAGTTCAATCCCTAGTACCAAACTATAAAAAAAAAATAAGGGCTGGGTGTAGCTCAGTATGGAGGCCCTGGTTCAATCCCCAGCATCACAGAGAGAGGGAGAGATTAGAGAATGGAGAAGCAGGACACAGGGTATCTGCTGTGTGAGTCCTTTTATTGGCAGCACAGAAGCAGGCAGTACCGATGCTTGCTGTTAGAAGTCAGGAGAGTGAGCCCCTGAGGTCAGCTGGCAGGATGTGTCCCGTGACTAGAGCACAGGCGTCCACAGAGCTGACCCCTGTGTGCGTGACTCCCTGTGCTCGTCACACTAAGGAGAGGACAGAAAGCAGTGAGATGCAAGGACCGATGACAGCTCCTCCAACAGCTGGACAGCACAGTCATCCTGCACCTGGAGGGCCCCCCTGCTCCCGGAGTCAGCAAGCTGAGCCAATGGCGTGAGGGACAGGTCAGCCTGGCGGCTGTGACCTCAGCCCCATGCCCTCTCCTCCACAGCCACTGACCCTGCACACTAGGCTCCCTGCGGAGCCTTCCTCTTCCCGGGCCACCTGTGTCCCTGCCAGGGCTCCAGAGCTGGGGCAGGGATCTGGTGACAGCGATAAAAATAAAAGCTCCCCCAGCCACTCCCAGCCCCGACTCACCTCACAGAGACCTCGGCCCGGATGGCCCCAGGCAGCCTGGCAAAGGTACCTCCAGGCCTGGCACGCCGAGGTCTTGGTGGAGCAGGTGGTAGCTGGTGGTGGTGCCATGGGCCAGAGGGGTTATTCAGGGTGGTGTGGGGCATCTGGTTCCAGCAAGGCAGCCAACATGCGCTGTGAGCTGCAGCAGCATCTGACACTCTGTTTCCAAATCCAGGGACCCTGAGCCAGGGATTTAGCTCAGTGGTTCTGCTGCCTGCCTTGCAAGCGGAAGGTCCCGAGTTCAATCCCCAGTTCCAAATCTAGGGACCCCTTAGTGGGTCACAGGGGCCAGGAGGGCAGGACTTTGAGGTTAGCAGAGAAGTTTCCATTGCTTCCAAGGATCTGGTACAAGCCTATCGGAGTCACAGGGACAGGAAGGATATGTTTACAGCAGTCTTCAGATGTTACTTCTTTTTTTTTTTTTTTTTGGTACCAGGGATCAAACTCGGGACCCTGTGCTTGCGAGGCAGGCGCTGGAACCACTGAGCTAAATCCCCTGCCCTTCAGATGTTACTTCTATTCTAAAAATTCTCTACAGAAACCCTTCCACCTGATATAAATTCTTCCTAAGCAAAAAGGTGGTTTTTGAGCTCACAGACAATAGTCTCGGTAGCACCTTCTCTGATAAGGAAGCACTGGGCATCCCTGAGAAATGCAAATCACTGAAACAGCTCATACAAGTTGATTTGGTTCTGCCCAACGTATCAATTAGATTCAACTGCCAAGATCAGGAAGCCAAAATGACAGGGACCTAGGGCTGTGGATTTAGCTCAGTGGTTTCACTGCCTGCTGCACAAGTGCAAGGATCCGAGTTCAATTCCCGGTACCAAAAAAAACTTAATTCAAAATGACAGGGACCGCAACAAGCAGATTTTTTTTTTTTTTTTTTTTGGTACAGGGGATCGAACTCGGGACCTTGCGCTTGCAAGGCAAGTGCCAGAACCACTGAGCTCAATCCCCAGCCCCCACAAGCAGATTTATTTTCTCTTGTGTAAATAAGCCCAGTGTAAGGCAGGCAAGGACTGATGTGGCTGTTCTGCTGCCGTCAAGTGCCTTTTGTCTTTTTCTACCATGCAAGAAGTACATAGTTCCTGTGTTACAGTATTTGCCTCATGGTTCAAGATGGCCCTTGCAGATCTGGCCATCACATCTGAGTTCCAGGCAGGAAGCAGGCAAAGGGGATGTGCCTCACAGTTGAGTCAGCCCCTTTAAAGAACTTCCCTGAAAGCCCCACCTACAACTTCTGTCTATCTCATTAGTCACTCCTAGCTGCAAACGAAGCGGGAAAGTAGTTTCTTCCTAGACCACCTGCCCCTGCCAACGGAGAGGGGGGACCCCTTGCCCAGGGAGAAGGAGGGCAGTAAACATGAAAACTCTGGAAGATAAGAACTGCTGTAGACAGGGATCTCCACCATGGCTCTGTGAATTAAACTGTCCGATCTGCAGGAAACACGGAGGAATTTCGTCACCTTCCTTTCACAGGCAGGGAAAGTGAGGCCCAGCGAGCCGCGTTCTCTTGCCCACATTGCACAGCCAGGAAGGGGCGGACGGGGCCTCCCCACCACGTGGCAGTGACCAGGCTGACAGTGCCAGGCGAAGTGGCACTGCCGGCGCTGCTCTCCATAGCCTGCGGGGCGGCACCATGACTGTCCCACTTGAGCAAAGGGAGGTGCAGAGGTGAGGTCTGGGAGCTGAGGCCGCACAGCAAGCGTTAGCGGGTTCGTCTCAGTCCTGGAATGGGGGGCACTTCTGATTTCCTCCCCCTACTGATACTCTGCATGCCCTGGCCCTGCCACCGTGACCGGGCACTGCTTGGGAAATCAGGCAAAAGGAAAACACCCTCTGGGGTCCGGCTCCCACCCGATCCCCCCACACCACAAGGAGTCCCTCCCATGCAGCCCGCTCCTGCCCGCCCAGGCTGGCGGCCTCTCCCCAGCTTTCCGAAGAACTCTGCCCCTCTTGGCACCCGGCGCCACCCGCCCGCACCCAGCACCCGCCCCTCTTCCAGCCTGGCGCACCTCACATGGCTCCCGGCCTTGGGTCATAGGCTCTCAGTGCTGTCCCAGGCCCGGGCAGGCAGTCTCACTGCACCCTCACCCACTGTCCTGTGCCTCCTCCCCGGGGCGAGGGGCCTGCATGACACCATCAGCAGACTTACCGAGCACTTTCTGAGTGCCAGGCCTGGCAGGGCCATCCACTCGCTCATCCTCAAAACAACCTCTGTCAGCCTTGGCCTGGCCCCACAGGCCCTGTGTGGAGGCCCTGCCACCCCTCTGTCCTCTGTGTCCCCTCTACCCCTCGCTGCCTCGGCTCCTCCCCTCACACACTGAGCTTGGCCTGCCTCGGGGCCTTTGCACGTGCTGTCCCTCTGCTCCTCCTTGGGTACCTTCAAGCGCTTCCTTCTCTGCTTCATCCTAGAGGCCACATCACAATCTGCATGGCCATGGTGCCAGCTCCCTCTCCTACCTTCGAGAACAGCAGCTGTGGGCCAGCGATGTCCTGGGCCCGCTGAGGTGCCCACTGGACACCAGGTGACTGTGCGCACTGTTTGCAGGCGAGGAGGCCCAGCCCAGAGCAGCCACAGGCTTTGGCAAGGCCTCTCACATGCAAGGAACAGAACTGAGAGTTTTACTCTTTTTGCCCGGGCATCTCACCCCAGAGGGTGCTAATCTGTCTGCCCATAGCGTGTGAACTGGGCATGCATGGGCCTAGATTGAGATCCCAGCTTTGCCGCTCTCTGAGCAAGGCACGTCCCACACAGGGCCTCAGTTTCCCCACTATGGTAACAAGGAACCCCGCCTCTCTGCCTCAGAGGACACCTGGCCCCTCCTTCAATTCGCCAGCCCTGGCCTCTGGCACCACCCTGCACACAGCCACGGCCAAGGACACCCTCAAAAACCCCATAGGAGGGGCAGCAGACCAGCTGGTGGCCTTGGGACACCACTAGGGGTCATCCAGGACAGCCAGGCCCAGAAACAACTGGGCTGAGGACAGAAGAACCGGAAAACAGCCAAGAGGCTGGGGCCGTGGTGGAGCAGGTGAAGGAGGGGTCTCAGGTGCCAGGGAACTGGGAACTCAAAGCTCTCCTGACCGCTGACCAGCTCCTCGGGTGGTAACTGCACCTGTGCCTTATTTTCCCCATCTGGAGACAGAGAGCCCCCATGACGCTGGGTGCTCACAAGGATAAAAGGTGCATCCCCACACGGCGCAGCGAGTGGTGTGGTGGCCTCACCTGGCACAGGTATGGGCGTCACCACCCAGGGCGGCCTTCGGGGACCTCCCCAACCCTCCCTGCCCCACTTTTCTTCCTGCGGAGCCCTTGTCCCCACCTGTCACTATCTTGTTCCGGTTGCTGAATATTCAGTGTCCATCTCCCCCTATAAACTGTCACCTTCATCTTGGTCACTTGTCCCTAGCACCTAATAAAGAAGCTGGCACCCAGCAGGTGCTCAATAAAAGCTTGTCAAATAAATGAAAAATAATGAGGCAAATAAATGTCCAGGAGATGAAGACAAAACCACCCCAGCAAGTCTGAGCGGGAGCCGGGGAGGAAGCCTCCCAGGTGTCTGCAGGTAGCCGCTCCCCGCCCGCCCCAGTGCCAACCCCTGCTGCTCTTAGCCTTGTGACCTTAGCTGGTCACCACCCCCACCCCCAGCCCATCTGCTTCCAGGAAAAAGCTGCGCACAGGAGCTGCAGCCCTGGGGTGGCCTCCGCACTGGGCCCAGCACGGGCAGGGTTGCGGCCTCACTGACCCATCTTCTCCTGCAGACTCTAAGGTGGGAAGGGCTTTGTCAGGTCCCCTGTCCTGAGCAGACAGGGGTTGGGGTCCCAGGCTGCGCCCTTCCTGCCAGCCTCATCGGCCAACATGGCCTCACAGGACAGCCCTCCGCCAGCGAGCTCATCAGCCTGGGGCCTGGGGTGCTGCTTTGCCCCCAGGGCGCTGGGCTCCCACCCAGGGAGCCTCCTGCACTCTCCCCCGCCCTGCTCTTTCTTGTTCCAGGACTTTTGAGCAGCTGCTCCCTCCTCCCTGAAAGCCCATACCCTCTCGGTCTGGTGACCCATGGGACAGTGTCACCCCATCCGATCTGACGTCTCCAAGGCCTCTGGTATGGTCGTGTGCCCCGCTCTCTCAGGTGGTCAGATGGGCTCCTGCTCAGGTTCCCTTTCTGTTCCCTCTAAACTATGATCCCACATGAAGTCACTTCCCTGTGAGGCTTAGGGGCCTAAACTTGAGGCCAGGCAAGGAGCCCTTCAGGAGGGCCCAGGATTGGGATGGGGTGAAGTGTCCAGCCCAAACTCTCCCCAGAAACCTGGGAATCAGATGGAGCCCCCATTCCACCCTGAACACGAACCTTAAATTACATCCCCAGCCTTTTATCTTTCGACAGTGTCTTCCTAAGTTGCCCAGGCTGGGGACTTGCAATCCTCCTGCTTCAGCCTCCTGAGTAACAGGGATCACAGCTGTGTATCACTGCACCTCACTCGATCCTCATGTTACCATCTGGGAGATGGGGATGTCTCCACTGCATGCCCATGCGGATTAGAGCAAGACGGAGTGTGTGCACAGCTCCAGAGAGCACTGCCAGGCTCACTGGCCAGGCCGCTCCCATTCACCTGCTGTGTCCTCTGCAAAGCAGGTAGCTGCAGCCACCAGGCAACTCTGCGACAAAAGGGGATAGCAGCAACAGGGAGACCCTCCCTCACTGGCCATGGCAAAACTGAGCCACCTCCTCAGCAGGCCCAGCCCCAAGCCCAAGGTGAGTCCGGAGGCAGCAGACCCCAGTGCTGTCGCTGGTGCTGACGGAGACCACTGGGGCAGAGACTGACCGGCCAGGCCTCCGGGGACCTTGAAGCCAGGTGTCCTCCGCCCAGGGCCGAGACTTGGTCAGGGCGGCTGGGCAGGTCTGAGCTGAAGCGGGGTTGTCAGTGTCCAGCAGTCTGCAGGGCCCTCGTGCTGATGCAACACGGGCATCAGAGACAGGGAGTTTGCCCCAGTCCTCACAGTGGGGTCCAAGGGTCACCTTCTGTCCCTCACACTCCAGGCTCCCTCGGAGACAGCAACTGTAGACCCCAGAGGGAGAGGGAGAGAAGCACTCCCCATTTTCAAGCCACAGATCAGCAGCTGCTCCGAGACTTCAGGTGGCCCAGGCCCCAGGCCAGTGGATCTGTGTGGCCCGCCACTCCCCAACTCCTCAGGGCAAGGAGACCCCGAACCAGTGCCCCAGATCACAGGCATCTGACAGCTGGGCTCTCAAAGCAGGGGTCCTAGAGCACCCACCTTTCTGGAGGTTGTCATGAAATGAGGCAGGGCAGATCTCTGGCAAGCACCTGACACACTCACACTGCGCTGAAGACCCGGGTGCCAAATGCCAGCAGCCTCCCAGCAAAAAATAATAACAAGAGCAAACGCTTATATAACACCTCTGGCGTGCCAGGCACCAGAGGATGCCGACACCCCTCCATGGACATCCTCAGCTCTCAGGAATGCCGGCCAGGACTGGGGGGGCAGCAGGGAGGGGCAGGAGGGGGGAGAGGGATCAGGGCCCAGGAATCAGGGATAAAGGGCGGCCAGCCCCAGGTTCAAGGCCAAGCTCAGCCACCCTGAATATGCAGGTGAGGCTGGGCTTCAGTGTCTACATCTGACAAAGAGGGCAAGTGGCAGTGTCCCAAGCCAAGGGACAGGGCTATGAGTGCAGGACCCTTCCACCACCTTCCTCCACCTGGCCCAGTCTCTCCTCCCACTACACACAAACAGACTCGCCCATAGCACAGCCAGGCTCCCCTCTTAACACACACATGCACACACACAAAGTACAAAATACACACTCAAAGTACACACACAGAGTACTTCTTAAACAGCCCGCCCCACTCTACTTACCAAACAATCTGCCCTGACTTGGGCCAAACAGGACCAAGACCTGCGTCCCCTCCTCCTACAGCCACAGGCCTGCCTGCCTGCCTGTCCCTAAACGATGCAGAGGTCACAGACTTCACGGTGTCTGCAAACCCAAGCCTGACACCAACCTCTGTCCCCAAGCAGAGTTCCCAGCCCACAGCACCCAGGGGTGCTGAGTCACCCTGAAAGCCTGACCCGAGCTCTGCACCTCTTCCCCAAGAAGCTTGGGTCGCCATCTGCCAGCAGACCTGAGGGGAGCAGCAGAGGAGGGAAGCCAGCTGCAACACCCCCACCCAACCACCAAAAAGTCCAAAAATAACAGCAGCCCCCTCACACATAACCCCTACACACTCCAGAAACGCAAAACAAAACCCTATCCATCCAAAAGGCTTTTTAACTGTCCTCAAAAAAAGTTTATTAAAAGTGTTCTTACTTAATGCTTGAAACGGAGATTCCCAAAATATACAGACGCCTCTTTTCTCATAGAAATAGATTTTTTTTATAATACAAAAAAGATCCAAAAAAATAATAACAACAACAACAGCAACCCCGTAGGAACATCTTTAAGCGATTACTCAGGGCCCGGCTGACAGTTACACGTGGGTTGCGTCAGTCCCGTCTACACACGCGTTCAGCCATGTTTAAACCGATTGCATCAACTTCGAAACCGGCCCGCCCGCCGGCACCCGGAGAGGGGCAGGGGGAGGCCGAGTTCAGAGTCATCCGTACACACAGGCGCTGCTGCTTTAAATAACACCACGGGCGGGCGCGCCATCTGCACGTGCGGCTGGTCTGGACAAAAATATAGAAATATATATAATAAAATATTAAGATTACCGACGGGCTCCCCGCGCTGCCAGGCGCCCCGGTGCCAAGTTCCGCCAGCAGCGCGGAGGCCAGCCGGCAGGGGGGCGCGCGCGGGGGCCGCGCTAGCAGTGGCCGGAGGAGGCGAGCAGGGGCTCGGGCAGCTGCTTGAACAAGTTCCGCAGGGTGCTGAGCTCGCGCGACAGCTGCTCCACCTTCTTCTGGAGCCGCTCGTTCTCGGCCGTGAGCTCCAGGACTTTGTGCTGCGTCTCCAGGTTGCGCATCTTGGCCTTGTCGCGGCTCTTGCGCACGGCGATGTTGTTGCGCTCGCGCCGGATCTTGTACTCGTCGCTGTGCTTGTCCACCGTCTTCTTGGCCTTGCTCTTGACCTGCGCGGGCGCCGGCGCGGCCCCAGGGTAGCAGGCGGCAGTGGGCGCCTTGGCGTCGGCCGGGCTCGGCGTGCCGGGCGGGCTGGACGACGAGGACGTGGAGAGGCTCCCGCTGCTGCCGCTCGGCACCGACTGGTAGCCGAGGTAGGCGCGCAGCGCGTACGGGAAGCCCGCCGCCATGCCTGCGCCGCCGCCCGGCGCCCCGGCCTCCTCCTTCCGCTTGCAGTCCGCGGGCTCGAAGCCCGGCTCCGCCTTGAGCTCGGCGGGCGGCGGGGGCGGCGGGTGCAGAGGCGCGAAGCAGCCGGGGTGCAGCGGGCCCTTGGCGGTCCCCAGGCGCCCCAGGCTCACGTAGCCGTACTCGGCCGCCTTCTTGCAGTTCTTGCCCCCGTAGTCGTCGGAGAAGAGATCGGAGAGGAAGTCGTGGTGCTGCCCGGAGGAGGCGGGCGCGGGGGCGGGCACGGGCGGAGCCGCCTCGAAGGTGTCCGTGGCCGTGGCCGGCGCCGGGGCCTGCGGCGCGCCCAGCGGCTCCAGGTACGGGCTGAAGTCGATGGCGCGCTCGTGGTCGCCGATGCTGCCCAGCTCGCCGGCGGGGGCGCGCGGCCCAGGTCTGGCCGCGGGGGGCGCCGCGGGGGCCGCCTTGCCGCCGTACGCAGCAGCCAAGCAGTCCGCCTCGTAGTAGAAGTTGGCCACTTCCATGGATTTAAAGGCGGGCGGCGGCGGCGGCAGGGGGAGACATGCTGGGTCCCAGGCCACCAGGCGTTGCATGAACGCGGGTGCCCGGGGAGGGGGCCTGGGGCTGCCCGCTCCGGCCGGCCCGCAGGTGGCGCGGCCTCCCGGCTCCGGGCTGTCGCCGCTGTGTCCCCGCCGCTGCAGTGGCCGGCGATGCCGGGGTGTCCGCTAGGAGTGCGGGGGCTGAGGCGCCTGGACCCTCGGATGGGGCCCCTTCCCGGTCCGGTGTGCGGCTCTGACTCGCTAAAGTTTCTCCCGAGCCCGGTTATTTATAAGGCGGCCCTTGGCAACCATGCGTCACGCCGCCCCGGGCCCCTCCCGCCGCCGCCGCCGGAACGCGACGGCCGCGGCCACCCGGGACCCCCGGGAGGGTGGCAGCGGGGCGCGGCGGCCCTGCGCGGGTTCCGGGGCGCGCCCTCCGGGGGTCGCCCAACCGCGGGGGGCCGCCTGGCGCCCCCCGCCCCTCCGCCCTGGGATTGGGAAGGAGAGGGGGAGGTGCGACCCCGCCCCCGGCCCGCCCCCTCCGGGCTGGAGGCTGCGCTGGGAGGAGAGGGAGGCAGGGAGGGGGCGACCGAGCGCCTCCCCCGCCCCAAACGCGGCCGCGGCCCGCCCCCTACTGGAGGAGGCCGAGGCTCTGCTGCCCCGAGAAGGGCGCTCCCCGGCCAGACCCCGGGACCCCGGCCCGGCCCCAGCTCCGCCCCTAACGGCCCCCGTCCAGCACCCAGCTCCTGGAAGGAGCGGTTCCCCCCAGGAGACCCCAAAGCCGCCTCAGTGTGAGGACCCTGCCGGGCGGGGACGCAAGGCAGGGGGAGCCCTCCCGACCCCGCCCACCGCACCTGCGAGCGCTTGGCCCGCCCGGTCCTCTCCCGCCCACTCCGCCTGGCCTGGCCGGCCTCGGCGGCTGCGGCGGCGGCGGCGGCGGCGGCGGCGGCGGCGGAGAAAGCAGCCCAGCTCTGCCGCGCTGGTGACTGTGCCGAACCCCTGCGCATCTCTGAACCTTGCTGCTGTCTCTAGCCGTGTTGTCCCCCCACAGGCTCCCGAGCGCCAGGCGTAAGTGTGAGGACCCTCTGGCCTACCGACTGTGACAGCAAGGCACCCCCAGAGAGGCTGCGCCCCGGCCGACCCCAGGTGTCCCAGAGAAGCGGGCTCCCTAGGACCTGTCTGCCCGCACCCGAGGCCAGAGCCGCTGTGTGAGGCTGCGGGGAAGGGGCCGCGCAGGAGAGAGGAGGGACTCCCCACTTCAGCAAGCCCCTGCCCGGCCGCAAGGTGGGTCTGGACCCAGGGTTCTTGTGCGGCCTGCCGGGAAGATGCCACCGCCCACCTCGCCCGGCCAGCAGGCCCGAGGCGCCGGCCACCTGCCCTCCCGGGCTGGGGCCCATCAGAGCCCTGGGTCCTGCAGCTCCCCGCCCAGGCCGCGCTGACCCCCGGCCCACTGACCCCAGCCATGGCCCCAGAGGGCTGGCGGGCATTTCTCAACCTTCAGTGTTATCTGCCGAGCTGGGGTGACCTCCGCCCCCAAGAGCTGGAGAAATGACATCTCAGCTGCCCTTGGGGGGTGGGGGGCAGGGAGGGACGGGACCAAACACAGGCCAGCCATCCCGCCGGCCCGCCTGCCTGCCGGCCGCCCGCCTGCGGCTCTCTGGGCCTTCCCAGCAGCCCCTGGGCTGGGGAGGGAGCAAGGCCCAGGGGGTGTGGGGACATCCCCAAGGGACCCACCCAGGCCTTGCTGCAGAGGGGCTAAGCTGCAGGATCTCAGCCTTCAAGAGCCTCCCTCTCCCACCCAGTGGTGACCTTCTCCTACCCCAAAGTGCAGCCGCCATGACCCTAATGGTCGTGTGTCCCCATACTCTGAGCCCATGAGGCCCGGTCCTGGAGTCCTGAGCCCGGGGGTCCGAAGCTGACCAGTTGGACAAGTGCATCTGCTGTCCCCTCTGTCCCCAGCTCTGCCCCCGGTCAGGGCCAGTCCCTTTTCTCTGGGAGGCCCTCCCTGACTTCCTATCACTGTTCCTCCTTCACCATTCTCCTGATGACAAAACAGTGTCACCAGCCCCTCTCACTGTCTGTGCCTGAGGCCCTCTCCCATGCCAGTTCCCCAGGGGCAGGGCCTGGCACACAAACAATGGCAAATGGATGAATGGAAGAGACCAAGAAGGCGGAGTCCCCTGTGAACTGGGCTTTGTGACCTCTAGCAAAATGGTTCCCCTGAGCCTCAGTCCCCCACCCCAGCATTTCAGGATTTCATTTCATTTCAGGTGTGCATTGAGGCTGGTGGAGTCTAAAGCTAATTGGAGGATCTGCTGTGTGTCCTCAGCCAATCTTCTACCCTCTCTGAACCACTTGTGAGTGTGAGTGTGTGTGTGTGCGCGTGCGTGTGTGTGCGCGTGTGTGTGCGTGCACGCGTGCGCCAAGGAATGAATCCAGGGTCTTCATGCTGAGCTACAGTTCTCACTGAGTTGCCCAGACTGGGCTTACACTTGCAGTCCTCATGCCTTGGCCTCCCAGAGTGCTGGGATTACAGGTGCACACCATGCCTGCCTTCCATGTTAGCTCGGTGTGTATTCGCTCAGTTAATCCTTCTGGTAATTTATAGGCAGTAGGTGCTGTTATTATTCCACTGCACAGATGAGGAAACGGAGGCCCATCAGAGATCTGCTCATGGTCACATTAAAGGGATAGAAAGGAATAAGGCCTTCCTGCCTGGCCTTCCCCTTGGGGTTTGTGATAAATTGCAACAGGTCTGGCACCATCTCACTTTCTAGATGAAAACTGAGGCCCAGAGGAGGTGGCTCAGGGCCCCACAGCGAGTCAGGCGACACCTGGGTCCCCAAGCACCAGATTCAGCCCCATCTGGAGCCGGAAGCACTTGCTTTCCCCGAGCTGGCCCTGCTGGGCTCCCGCTTGGCCCGAAGGCCTGGTGCCAGCCAGGTGTCCTTTGGGGAAGCTCCTTGCTCAGCAGGCCCGGCCCACCAGACCTGCTTGGCTCCAGGAAGGGAGCAGCTGCCTGTCCTCGTGGGTGCTGGGACGGTCTCAGTGGCCAACTCCAGCCCTCAGATTTGATCCCAGTTTGATCCCACGGTGGTTTGCTTGTTTTTCTAGGTTTTTTTTTTTTAAGTGACTATTGCTAAAATTTACAAACCAGGAAGCTTCACTTCAAAATTCAAATTTCCAGCTTCTCTTTAAAACCAAAACTACTGAGCCGGGAGCAGTGGCACACACCTATAATCCCAGCACTCTGGAGGCTGAGGCAGGTAGATCGCTGGCAGGTCAAGGCCAGCCTCGGGTCCATAGTGAGTTCAAAGCCAGCCTGAACTACAGAGTAAGACCCTGGAGCAAATAAATAAAACCAAAGCCGTGGGCTGAGCCCATGTGGCCACATGGCAGTGGCAGGAGCCAGGCAGGGGCTGCAGAGGGGACAGGCATTTTCCAAACTCTCTCCAGGTTCCTTCTCCCCACAGCAGCTTGTCCTCAGCCCCACCTGCAGGAGGGGGAAACTGAGGCGGCTTGCCCCCCTGGGAGACCTTCGGCTGCCTCTGTGACAGAGATGATGGGAGGATTTGAGAGGAACACAGAAGGCCAGCCATGGGCAGGGGCGCTGAAAGGCCACCGACAATCCCAGCCTGGGGGCTGCTCCTGCTGTGCCCCCCACCCCGTGTCACCAGCTGTCCCTGATCTCCAGAACGGGGTGCTAATACCCCCTCGGGGTTCTGGGCCTGCAGGGCCTCTCTGCTGTGTCTTGGGGCCCCACCGGCCCTGCAAGGGCTTGGCTGTGGCCAGAGAAACTTCACACGACAGGCAGACAGGGAAACTGAGGCCTTCACAGGCCAGGACTCCCCCAAGCTCACAGGGAATTGGTGAAAAGGCCAGTCTCAAAAGCCCGATCCCTGATTCCAAAGGCTGAGATGTTCCCCACCGCGCCTCCTCTCTAAGGCCTCCTGTTCCCCACCTGCCCCTGCCGCTGAAGGCGGATCAGATGCCAGAAGGCGTCCTCAGGCCGCAGGCCAGGCCGTGAAACGTGCCTGTGTGTTTGCTGCCCCCGCGTGGCAGGATGTGGGACTGCAGGAGTGATTTAAATAAACCTTTTGGCTGAGGACTGACTGGGTGCCTTGCCCCGGACTCGGGAAGCCAGCACAGTGGATGACAGACAGCTGCTCATCGGGTCCGAGCAGCGCTGAGCGGAGCAGAGATGTCCGAGGAGGCAAAAGATGCCCGACCTTCACATATTCATTCAAACACCAAATAATTTTTTGGCTGGGGCTCAGACGCCAGAGACACGTGCATGAACAAGCGGAGTGATCCTTGTTCTTGTGGAGCTGAAATTCTCCTGGGAAAGACCAAAAATAAACGAGATAAGTGAATGAGATCTGTACTGTGTTAGGTTCTGGTAAACACAATTGGGAAAGGTCTGGAGGGAAGGGAAACTGAGGCAGCTGGGGGGTTGACTTTAATGGATTCCAGCAGCCAAGGAAGTCCTCAATGAGGTGACATTTGCTCAGAAACCTGAGTGCAGAGAGTTGTGGGCTGCATGGGTATCTGCAAGGACACAGCACTGGGCACGGGGCAGTATGTGCAAAGGCCCTGGGGTAGCAGTGAGCTCAGCCCCGTGTGGCTGTGGTGGAGTAGAGGGGCAGACTGTCACACCAGTCTTCATAGACCATTGTAAAGGTTGGCTCTTCCTCTGGGTGACCAGAGGGCTGCATGCAGGAATGTAGTGGAGGGGAGGCCAGGGAGCAGAGGGAAACACCGAGCAAGTGAGAGGCGAGAGTGGCATGGCCAGGGCGCTGGGCTCTGACCTGGTAAGAAGTGGTCCGGTTCTGAGTCTGTATTGATGGTGGGGCCTTTCAGATCTGCTGCTGGATCTGATTAGAGATCAGCCCCATGAGGCCACTAAGTAGAAGTTCCATTTCAGAGGAAATGCTCAAAAAGAACTCCAAGCAAAGACTCAAAAGATGTATTTATACACCTGTGGTCATACCATCATTCACAGCAGTACAAAGGTGGAAACAGCCCAAGTGTCCTTGGATCCAGGGGTAAGCAGAATGTACTTACATGCAATGGAATAGTATTCAGCCTTGAAAAGGAAGGAAATTCATGGATGAACCTTGAAAATAGTATGCTAAGTGAACTAAACCAGACACAAAAGGCTAATGAATACTGTCAGGAGCCCTCACATGAAGCCCTAGAGTGATCAGACTCACAGACACAGGAAGGAGAGTGGTGGCTGCCAGGGCTGGGGGCAGGGAATGGGGTGTTATTGTTTAATGGGGACAGGTTCCATGTGGGAAGATGAAGAGTCGCAGGTGGCCAGTGGTGACAGCTGTCCAGTGTGGATGTCCTTCACGCCACTGAGCTCTGCATGTACACGGGTCGTGTGGTGAATTTTATGTTCTATGGTTTTACCAGTCTGTGAAAAGGGGCGTGGTGGCTCTTCATACGGGCTGCGGACAGGGGTGGGGATCAGGCGTCCGACGCTGGTCACGGCCACGGGAGCCTCCACTGTATTCAGCCACAGCCATCAAGATGGGAGCCGTGGCCGGACCTCAAAAGGCCGGGCGTTCATCAGCAAGGACACCCACACCCCAGAGTCGCGGGGACGCCCACCAGTGCCAGGGTCACGTCCGTGGCTCTGGGGACAGAAGAGCAAGACGGGGGACGCTGCCGACCCTCCCAGAACGAAGGCAGAGTCCTGTCTCCACCCGCTGCTCCGGGCCAGGAGCCCTGGAAACCCGGCTGGTGTGGTGGAAGAGCTAAATGGTTTCCTGAAGTGTGATTCAATGTAACGCGCCTCCTGTGGCTGGTGACCAGCACACATCTAGGAGGGGCTCCAGGACCTGTCAGCAGACGCAGAAAAGCCAAGCGCAGGGGGGACGTGTGGTGTGCGAACCCCGCAAGGCAGGGGCGGTGGGAACCTGCGGGGCTGTGACTGACTGAGGACCCTGGAGGCGGAGACAGGAAAACAACCAGGCCTGGGCCCTGGTGCTGTGGAACATGTACCCCAAACTCAGGGGCCGAACAGCCACCTGAACAGCCTCCTGGTGCTGTGGGTCAGGAACTTGGCGGGCACAGGGAGTCTGATCTTCCCTGCTCGGTGGCTGCTCCCACGTCCACCGTGACTGCTTCACGCCCGTGGGCAGCCCCTCAGCTGGGCCCACACAGCCGCTCCCACCCGCACCTGCCGTTGCACTTCCCAGAATCGCCACGGGGTGGCGCTAGCACCGGGTCAGGACCCACTCTCAGGGCCGTCCAAGGGAGCAGCCCGGCTCGAGCCGTTATCCCGCCCCCTGCCCGCCCCCGCGCATGCGCACCCTTGCCCGGCGGGCCCCAGGTGCCTACCAGGTGCTGCTGCTCCCCGCGAGGCGCGGGGGCCCCGAGGGCAGCTGGACCACGGCTCCTGGGCACTGGCATCCGCCTCTGGATGTTGTCTTTTTGTGTCCCTGAAAAACGCTGAGGGCTTTTTGCAGCAGAACGCGGAACTCGCGGAAGGGGTTTGTGCGTGGGTGCAAACCCTCTGCTCAGCGGCAGGATTTTGAGACCCGGGGTCCCCGCCGGAGCAGCTGACACACACCCCATCCGCCTGCTGTACCCGCGGCACCGTCAGGGGCGTCCGACGACCTGCCCAACTCTGACCTGGGAATGAACCCTGCAATCCGGGGTACTTAATTTTAGGGAGCCGGTCCCTCTGCCACTCACCAGCTGCGTCCAGGGATTTTTATGTCCTTGTGATCCGTGCAGCCCTGGTACAATCTGCCCTTTTTTTCTTTTGGCACGGAGGATCAAACTTGGGACCCTGCACTTGCGAGGAAGGTGGCAGAACCACTGAGTTAAATCCCCAGCCCATGCCTTTTAAATGTTATTTTAATCTTGAAATAATTTTGCTTACAGAAAAGTTAGAGATAGTCCAAATATTTTCCACAATCCCAAACGCTATCATTCTGTACATTTAACCTCTCTCCTTTCAGTGTCTCAAATTCACATTCAGATGTCACCGTGTCCCCAGCCACGTCCTCTAATGCCACGTCCCTTAGTGCCCTAAATTGGGGACAGTTAATCATTCTTTGTCCTTCATCAGCTTGACACTTTGGGAAAGGATGGGCCCATTCTTTTGCACCCTCTCCTTGGTGCAGATCTGCCTGAAGATTCCTGTGCCTAGACCCAGGCTCCACGCCTTTGTGGGAGCCACAGAAGTGACGTTGTCCTCCCTGTGTCCCCTGCTGTGAGGCTTGGTGGAGGTGCTGTCTGCCCAGCTCCACCAGCAACAAGTGACTGTTCTTTTTGTAATAAATAAGTACCTTGTGGAGAGAGATTTTAGACCATTTCACCTGTTTTACCTCAGATTCACCCACTAACTAACCCATCTATGATCTTCACCTTAATCAGCCCATTGCTGTGTAATAAAACTTAGCAGCATAAAACAGTAATGATCGATTTTCTCACTGGCTAGGAATTTGGGAACGACTTGGCTTAGAGATGTGGGCCCACAGTTTTGTGAAAGCTGAGCCAGGCCTAGAGTAGTACAGTCTCATACAAATATAATGTGAGCTGTAAATGCAAATCATACATTTAATTTTAAATTTTCCAGTAGCTAAAAAAAGATGCAAGTAAAGCCAGGCATGGTGGCATACACCTATAACTCCAGCATTTGGGAGGCTAAGGCAGGAGAATCATGAGTTTGAGGCCAGACTGAATTACATAGCAAGACTGTGTCTCAAATAAAATAAAAAGTGAGGTGTGGTCCCAGCCCTCAGAGGCTGGAGGAGGAGGATCAAAAATTCAAGCCCAAGACTGGGGATTTAGCTTAGTGGTGCCACCATCTACCTCAAAAGCACAAGGTCCCCAGTTTGATCCCTGGTGCCAAAAAAAAAAAAAATTCAAGCCCAGTCTAAAAATTCAGCAAGACTGAAATAAAAAGCAGGCTTGAGATACAGCTTAATACAAAGGCCCTGGGTTCAATCTCCAGTACTGAAAACAAACAAAAATGTACAGGCAGGTGAGTAATATATGTATTTTATTAGCCTGATATAGTATATCTAAAGTCTTTTCTTGCAATCAACATATGGCAATATTCATGAGATTTCTCCTTATTGTTGAGCTGTCGCTTAAATCTGGTGTCCTCTACACAGCCATGCCCGCTCAGACTAGCTGCTCTGCTGGGGACCCAGGTGTGGCCGTGTCACTCAGATGGGAGGGCCCGCTGAATGCTGCTCCTCAGGGCTCCACCCCTCACTATGGGGGCTGCTCAAGTGTTCCCCTGGCCAGGACATGGTCTCACCGAGCACAGTCCAAGGGGCAGCAGGGGGAGGCACAAGATTGGTTACGACAGTGTTAGTCACAGCACCACTTCACCTTTTTCACTAAGGCCACCCCTACCCGAGGGACAGGAATTAGACTCCACTATTGGAATAGAAGAATGTTAAAGAATCTGTGGACATATTTTAAATTTTGTTCATGCTTTTATACCATATGGAGGGGGACTTTCTGTGTTTCCTGGGGGATGAGCCCATTGTTCCCCATCTGTTGGATCCCATCAGCCCAGACCTGGCCAGTGAGCTCCTCTGGCCTGGCTGCTGGTCCTGTCCTTCCTGAGCTCTTCCTGCACAACAAAATGTTCTCAGCTTGATTTTGACTTTTCCTCCCCTGGCTCCAGCTCCTTCTTGGAGAACAGCATTTTGAAACCAAAATCTGGGGCTGTCTAACTCTCTAATCTTTACCCCTCCAGTAGGTGTAAAGCGGCAGCTCATGGGGCGAAGCCTGCGTTTCCTGTTACTACTAAGCCATCTGCACCCCCTTCCTCCCTGTGTGGTTTTCCTCCTCTGCAAACAGCTTTTCTCATTCACAGCCTCCCTCCCACTGCCACTGGTGTCTTTTCTGTTGGTGTTTCTCTGTTTGTTTGAGACAGGATCTTGCTATGTAGCCCAGGCTGGCCTTGAACTCACAGTGATCCTCCTGCCTCAGCCTCCCAAGTGCTGGGATTACAGGCATGTGCCGCCATGCCCAGCCTTCTTTGTTTCTTGTCACAGTTTTTTGTATGTTCTGGCAGGAGTTTCTCATATGCATCGTAGACACTGCGGTGCTGCCTCACTCTGACATCCGTCTGTTAAGTTTGTCCAGTGTCCTTCACCAACCACAATGTCTTCATTTTATTGTCAAAACAACTTTTTTTGCCTTCCATATGTTTGTGTTTTGTATTGTGATAAAATTCAGATAACAAAATTTGCCATCCGGAAGTGTATTAGTTCGGTGGCAGTGGTGTGGGACCATCAACCCGAACCTTCCAGCTCCCTGGCTACTGCTGCGATGGGGCGATGCCCCTGTCGCCACCCAGCCCCCGGCAGCCTCTGGTCTTCTCCCGTGGGAGGAAACGGGCACCGCCAGCCCTTAGGGTCTGCCGCGCTTCGCGGGCTCCCAGGCACCGCAGCGCCTGCGCGTTGCGCCCCTTGCTGGGGCTGGGGGTGTCCCACCTCACGGGCGCTGCGCCCTGGTCTGTCCCCGTGGATCTGCCAGAGGTCTCTGCTGTGTTCTCCCTGCTGACTGCCCAAAGCAGGCTGTAAAGAGCTAACACCGCAATTGGCTGTTTCGAGAAGCGAGTCTGACTGAAGCTTGCGGGACTCCCGGAAGCACCTCATAAGCACCGGGTGGCGCGCAGCGCAGCTGAGCACGGCCTGGCCTTCCCCGCAGCGGCCACAGCAGAGACCAGAGAAGCGGCCTAGGAAGCTGTGGAGCTCAGTATGAGGCAATACAGTGGCTGAGGCCAGGGTGACTCACACCCAAATTCCACTCCCACGACTAAAACCTTCTTACCTAGAAGGACAAAGTCATTTCTAACTACAGCCCTATATTTTGTCTGTTCTGATTCTAATTCAAGAATTCTGGGCCAGGGATTTAGCTCAGTGGTTCCGGCACCTGCCTTGAAAGCACAAGGACCTGAGTTCGATCCCCGGTTCCAAAAAAAAAAAAAAAAGAATTCTGTGCCTGGGGCCGGGGATTTAGCTCAGTGGTTCCGGCACCTGCCGTGCGAAAGCACAAGGTCCCAAGTTTGATCCCCGGTACCAAGAAAAAAAAAACAAAATGTCATCCCAGCACTCCAGGAGGCTGAGGCGGGAGAATCCCAAGTTTCAGCCCAGCCTGGGCAACTTAGTGAGACCCTGTCCCAAAATAAAAAATAGGAACGACTAGGGTGTAGCTCAGTGCAAAGGCTCTGGGCTCCACCCATACTACTGAAGAAAACCAAAGTTGCTTCTCACTTCTAGTCAGGAAGATATTTTCTGACTTTTCTTCTACTCATTTGTAGGCAGAGGGTTAACTTTTTTCCAGTGACATTTATCACTTTCACCTTTTCAATGTGTGACTCAGTGGCACTGGTTACATTCACAAAGTCGTGTGACCCTTCCATCATCCCCAACAGAAACTGCACATTAAACAGCATTAAACACATCAAACAGCACATTAAACAGCAGACCCAGCCCTGCCCCCCACCCCGTCTCCCTTCTGTCGCTGTGGCCTTTGTCTGGCTCTTCCACCTGCCATGTGTCCCAGCTCCATCCCTGCCACAGCACAGGTATCAGAATGTCATTCCTACGTAGGACACAGTGAGGCCCACCCCTGTAATCTCAGCTATTCAGGAGGCTGTGGCAGGAGGACTGCTTGAGCCCAGGAGTTGGAGCCCACTTACCCATCACTCTTTAACCAGGAAACAAATCACTGAGCTTCAACACAGAGGGACAGATGATCCCACAGTGACACCACCACAGGGACACGGGAGGAGCCCAGAAGTGCAGGGATGGGGGCTATGGAAAGAAGCTCAGAGAAAGAAATACACAGCAGTCAAAGGCCCTGCAGCCTCACAGCCAGAGAGACAAGGAGGGAGGAGCAACCCACACACACACACACACACACATACACACACCCCCGCCCAGGCCCCGCATGTGTCCTCAGGGCCTCACCTGCTGGAGCCGGGGACAGAGGTGCAGCCTGGGTGCAGGAGGGAGAGGCTCCAGGCCTCCTCCCACCTCAGCTCCCCAGACCCCTGGGCAGGTGGTCAGCCGAGGGCGGAGGCCTGGGGTCTGAGCAGGGCAGGAGGGCAGCCCACCTTCCAGGCCTGCTTCCCACTGGCCAGCCCGGCAGAGGTTCCAGCCCTGGCTCCTGGGGCCCAGTGATGGCACAGGCAGCTCTGTCCGGAGCCCGACTGTTCACGCATCCGAGCACACACACCACCCGCAGCTCCGGCTGCCGTGACAAAGTACCACGGGCAGGGCAGGGGGGTAAAACACCACAAACGGATCTTCCCCCAATTCTGGGCTGCAAGTTGGACGTGGAGGAGGTGGCAGCGGGGCTGCTTCCCAGGCTGGAGGTGGCCACCCCTTCCTGTGTCTTTGGTCGTCCTGTGCGTGCCTCTGTCCCCATTTCTCTTCCTTCGAGGACATGTCATAGTGGATTAAGGTCCACCCTGATGCCCTCATTCTGCTCATTAGCTCCGTAAATTCCCAAGCTCTAAACAGTCACATTCTGAGGTCCTGAGGGTAAGGAATGCAGCATGTAAAGTTCAGGGTCCACTAATGCTTTGTTTGGGGGGAGTTTTTTAACCATACTGGGGATTGAATTCACACATACTAGGCAGGTGCTCTACACAGAGCTACATCCAGCCCTTTTTAAAATTTATTTTGAGGCAAGGTCTTGCTAACTTGCCCAGGCTGGCCTCAAACTTGTTATCCTCCTGCCTCAGCTTCCTGAATAGCAGGAATTACAGGCATGTGCCACCATGCCCAGCTTTATGGTCTGCTGTTTATCATAGCGTCTTTTACACCTTCTTACCTACGCATGAGACACCACCCCTGAAGCCTCTGCAAACACCTCCTGAGACACCTTCTCAGTCGTCTTTTATTTACTTATTTATGGCTGCACTGAGGATTGAACCTAGGGTCTTCACACTGAGTTACAGCCCACCCCACCTAGATTTCACTAAATCAATGTTGCCCAGGCTGGGCTGAAAACTTTAGCTCCTCCTGCCTCAGCCTCTCAGGATGCTGGGATTACAGGTATGTACCACCATGGCAAGCTGAGTCTTATTTTTTTGTTTAGGGGAGAAGGATGGTTTTTTATTTTCTTTTTGCAGTACTAGGGACTGAACCCAGGGCCTTTGCAGTGATATACATCCCCAGCCATTTATTGTTGTTGTTTGTTTTTGTTTTTGTTTTTTAATTTTTGAAACAAGATCTGTCTAAATTGCCTAGGCTGGGCTTGAACTCGGGATCCTTAGCCTCCCAGAATGCTGGGACTATAGGTGTGCTGCATCTCGCCTGGCTCAGAACCCTATTTCTAACAGGACCTGCACCTGCAAACCTCCACGCCTGCTCTCCTTCCCTTTTCAGTGTCTCCCACACCTGTAGTGATCTCCTGCGCATGCTTTTGATTTAGCATGCATGCTTTTGATTTAGCATCGCTGAGCCGGAAGCTCCAGGAGGGCAGAACCCAGACGTTCACCCAGACAGGAAGAGGTGTCTGGAATTCAATTCCAGGCCTGTGCCTATAACCTCCTCGCCCAGACCACCTCCTCTTTGCCACACCTTTTCTTTTTTGGTACGGGGATAGAACTCGGGTCCTTCGGCTTGCGCAGCAGACGGTGAAACCACTGAGCTAAATCCCAGGCCCCCTGCCACACCTTTTCAAAGCTCTCCTCTGTAAGCCACCCACAGCTGCCTGATAGACACTGGGAAACTCCCCACGACTAGCTAAACTGCGCTGCAATACCACTTGGCACCAGCAGGTGTCACCAGAGAATTCCCAGATGCCGCCCAGTGCCCCAGGGCAGGATTGTACCAGAGTTGGTTTAATCAGCCTTGAAGGAAACCAAGCTGCAGCTGCATCCTTGAGCCTGTGTTCATGGCCTATGAGAATGGATTCCTAGAAACCGAATCGCAAAGGGCAAAAAACCCCACACATTTTAAATTGCACAGATAGAGTCAGGCATGGTGGTGCATGCCCGTAATCCCAGCACTCTGGGAGGCTGAGGCAGGAGAATTATAAATCCAGCCTGGGCAGTTTAGCAATTCAGGGAGACTCTGTCTCAACAGGCTTTTTTTTTTTTAATTACAGGGCTGGGTGTGTAGCTCAGTGCCAAGGCCATGGGTTCAGTGCCTGGTGCTGCAAAAATAAAGTGCATAGATTGCACTAACTCACTAAGCCTGGTTTACAGCTGAGGAATGTCGGGCCCAGAGAAGGCAAATGGGTCAGCCAGGGGCATACAGCCAGCTCATGAGCAGGCCAGGTTTAGAATTACGTTTCTCTGGCCGTGAACAGCTCTCCGAGCTTGGAGGTCGCCGTCAGCAGGCTGAGGAATAACCTTGTGCATGGGGCAGGGATCTGACAGCTCCTTCCGTTCCTCAGTCATCCATTCACATTCACCAGACAAAATGCACTCGGGGCATACAGGCTCGAGACTGTCAGGAAGCCTCAACTATCAACTGCCTCCTAGTCAAGAAAATATGCTGGGCCAGGTGGCGCATGCCTGTGATCCCAGGACTCGGGAGGCCAAAGCAGGAGGATTGCTACAAGTCTGAGGCCAACCTTGGCTACACACTGAGACCCTGTCTCAAAAGTTAAAAAAAAAAAAAAAAAGGAAAATGAAAAGCATTGTTGAAGATGTGAGGAAGTAGAACCCTGTACTCTCTTGGGAATGTAAAATGGTAGAATGAGTGTGGAGAGCAGTACGGGGATCCTCAAACAATTAACCATAAAGCCATGCCCACAATACTGCACACCTCTGATATCAGTGCTCAGGAGGCTGAGGCAGGGGGCTCGTGAGTTTGAGCCCAACCTGAGCAACTCAGTGCAATCCTGTCTCAAAATAAGAAATAAGGAAGGGGTGGGGGTGGAGTTCAGCACCCTTGGGCTCACTCCCCAGTACAGAATAAATATAGAGAAGTACCGCATGACTCAGCAGTTCCACTCCTGGGTACATAGCCAAGAAAACTGAAAACAGGCTCTCAAAGAGGTATTTGTACAACAGCAGAGCGTGGAAGCCACCCAAGCACGCACCCATGGTGGGCCATGGTGGGGAGAGCGGGCTCCCAGTGGAAGGGCAGACCCACCTGCAGGTCTGCTGCAGTGAAAGCCGAGCCTCACAGGAGCCCACATAGGGCCACGGCACTCGAGGCCACAGAGCGACACAGCAGGCTGTTCAACACACACAGTTTTGGTTTTGCAAGGTGAAGAGGTCTGCACGCGGAGACGGCTGCACATCGCACATGTCTTGGCACCCTGAGCTGTGCACCGACAGATGAAGAAGAGGCATATTTCACCAGTTCTTTTAAATTGGGGGTGTGGTGAGGTTAGAAATGAAAGCTGCTTTTTAACTGGGCCAGCCTCTGCCCAGGTCACCAGGAGCCTGGGGTGACTCAGCAGCAGCCTCCCCCTCCATCCCCAGGGTGACATTCCCAGGCAGCCTCTGAGGACTGGATGGCGGCGCCTGAGTAAGAAGCCTTTGCTCAGATGTCATAAAGCAGCAGCTGGGCCAGGACGCCCAGGCAGCGAGCCAGCTCCACCCCAGCCCCATTCAGAGCCAAGGAAGCTGAGGACGCAATGACACCCCCACCTTCTCCGTCCCCTCCTGCTGGACACACAGGCTGGTTCCAGTTTGGAGCAAGAGGAACAGACCTGGTCAGCCCAAGCTCAGGGGTGGCTTCTCCAGCTGCTGCGGAGCTGGGTGGACAGACTTCCTCACAGGCTGCTTTCCTTTCCTCTGGCAGAAGCAGAATTGCTACAGCGTCTGATAATTCTCCAGTGAATGTTTTCTGGAGAAATGGAATTGCTGGGAGACTGCAGATCACAAGTGTTCCGGGTGCAACAGGAGGAGGCTTCTGATCCAGTTTGTTTGGTTTTTTTCTGGTAATGGGTTGAACCCAGGAGCACTATACCTCTGAGCTACATCCCCAGCCCGGGGTGTGTGTGGGGGTGTGTGTGTGTGTGTGTGTGTGTGTGTGTGACACAGGGTCTCACTAAGTTGCCCGGGCTGCACTCTACCCAGATGTTGGCAGTCGCCACCTTAATGAGGGTTCCAGTCATTTCTGGGACGCCAAGGGGTTTGAACAGGAACAAGAGAGATGGAATTAGAACCCTGTATCAGCTATCTATGTTGCATCCCCTGATTTTGCAAAGGAGACAGTGGCCGGGTAGAAGCCCTGTTCACGGGTGGTAGGCGTCAGGGGTCCAGGGCTGAGAGGGCCCCTCGTCTGTGGATGATTCACAGAGGTTTCAGGAAGATGCCGGCCACAATCACAGAGCTGGCGAGTGGAACGCTGACAACCGGAGGACCCAAGAGAGGGAAGATGAAGGCTTCGATATTCTTGCAATTTTTTTCTGTAAATCTGTAATTCATTGTTAAATGACCACGCAAGAGAAGCCTTTTAGAAAATCATCTTTGTCTTCTTATTCCAGCTTTTAACCTGTTAGAGCCGCCTGGTCCCAGAAAAAGGAAAATTCATGACATGATTGTGTTGAGAGGACACAATCCACCCTTAAGGTCCGTCTTCCGGGGAATCGCTCTCAGTGAGGAGGCAGCAGCAGGAGAGCCTTTGCGTTTATCTGAGGCTGAAGCGGCCTGTGAGAGATTCCAGGGAAGGGCCAGGAGCCGTGGGTGGGGCTGGGGCCTTTCCATCAAGGGGCTGCCTCGGCTCTACGCCCAGGCACACGGGGGCCAGTGGCCAGGAGGATCCAGGAGCCCTGTATTGGAAGCCTAGCTGGGGGTAGACTTGCTGGGGTCACTAACCCAGGAGTAAGGGAGTTTCTGAGACATGTGACGGGGCTGGGTGCTGCCTGAGAACCACATGTCCCTGGCCAGGCCAGTGCTGGAGGTCGAGTGGCCCGGTCAGAGCCTGGATGGACACCCCACGTCCACTGCAGGACCCCCGCATCCTCCCACGCTCTCTGCCTCTGCTGGAGAAGGGTGGGAGGGCTCGGGAAGGCAGACACACAAGGAACTTGCTAGAAGGGGCCTGGGGGACTCGGGAACCCAAGAAGGCAGTTCCAATAGCAGGGATGAGGACTGCTGCCTGCCATGTGGCTGAGACTCCAGCTATCAAATGCTAGCATTCATTTACTTATTATTAATAGAACTCTAGCTTTTTCATTGGTCTCTTGAGAGAAAAACTATACTTCACAGCTGTTCAGCAAAGAGTGCCACGTAACTGAGACTAGTTCTAACCAGTGGGAGAGAAGCAAGGAAGTGTTGCTGCCTTCTTTACTCCTTCTTGCTACCTGTAATACAACAAAATGGCTGGAGCATAAGCAATCTTCTTGGACCATGAGGTGGAAGCCACCTGTTAAGGATGGTGAAGTTAGCTGGGTGAAGTGGCACACACCTGTAATCCCAGCCTCCAGAGGCTGAGACAGGAGGATCCCAGTGAGTTCAAGGCCAACCTAGGCTACATAGCAAGTTCAAGGCCCGGCTGAACTACATAGTGAGACCCTGTCTCACAAAAACAAAAACAGGTTCTGCCATCTGCCTCGCAAGCACAAGGTCCCGAGTTTGATCTCGGATACCAAAAAAAAAACAATGGGCCGGGGATTTAGCTCAGTGGTTCCACAGCCTGCCCGATCCCCAGTGACCGTACAGCTGCCACAATATCCCTTATCTAAAAAATAAATAAATAAATAAATAAATATCCCTTATCTACATTTGCCTGAGAAAGAAATGGCTGTGCCTTTGGGATATTTATTATTACCGTCCACTCTAACCCAAATGCACTCCACGGGCCCCTCGCCTAGATGAGAAAGTTGATCCAAGGACAGAGCAGTTGTGCCCCTAACGCAAGGACCACAGCTACCGAGGCAGAGCCCGGCCCCGCTCCTCCGGCTCTGCTTTTCCTCCCACTGCTGTCCTGGGCTCCAGACTGCTTTCCCTACACGGTGCGCTCCACACATCCCCACCGGCCTAGTTTCTCTCCTTTGTCTCCTCCAAGGTTGAACCAACCCAAGGACAACCTTCCCCGGCTGCCAGGGGACTCTGATGGGACACGGCCCTGCGTCCCTCCTCACTCACACCCCAGATCCTGAAGCCCACCGTGACGCCTGTCCCAGGGCGGGGCTTCCTCTCGGGGCAGGGAGCCGGTCCCACAAGACCACAGAAAAGACGTAGGAAACCTCTGTGCCTTCCCCTGGTTTGGCTGTGAACCTAAAACTTCACTAAAGAACAAAGTCTGCAGCCACCAGGTGCCTTCCCTTTGGGCTGCCCTGTCTGGAATGCTCTTCTCCTACAATCCTGCGTGGCTTCCTTCTTCCCATCCCTTAGGTCCTTGCTCACACCTCATGGACAGAGGATTTCCTGGCCACACCTGTTAACCCCTCCCTCTGCCTCCCATCCTCCCAACCCTCTTCCCTGCTTGATGTCTTTCCCAAAGCAGCCTCCTCCTCCCAGTGCACAACAGCAGCTGATTCCCCTCTTCATTGTCCCCCTCCTGTCCCTGCCCTTGAGGACCAGCTCCACAAGGCCGGGATTTTCTTTTTTTCCCCACGGCTGTTTCTAGTACTGAAATGGGTCCTAGCATATAGTATGTGCTCAATAAGCACCTGCTGAGTGGATGAATGAATGAATGGGAAAGGATCTGAAATCTTAGGGAGCGTCCCTTTTGCACCCAGTTTTTGTGCTGCACAGCAGGGCACTCTCAAATACCCTCTGAGACAGGAGACACTGCGTCCCGAAGGAGTGGCCTTCAGGAACGAGGCTCCAGCACCACACAGGGCCAGCACGGAGCGGGCAGAGCTGTTTGCTGGAAGAAGTCCTCTGAGGGAGCCCTCACCACCTCCCCTGACCTCTGGCACCTCCATCCTGACTGCTCCCTCAAACCACAATCCATCTGTCACACACCAGGGCCTACCTGCACCCCGCCAGGTCACCTCACCCCACTGAGAGGCTGATGGGACCTTCTCAAAGCACAAACCAAGTCTTCCACCCCAAAGGCTGCTTGCCCCTGGGGTTGTAGGTGCCCACAAGGGGCACCAAACATCCAAGGCCCCACCCAACTTTCATTTCTCTGACTCTGTTCTCGAGCCCCACTCCAGCCTCGATGATTTTTGTCCCCAGTTGAGAGTATAAACCCAATCTTTCAGCCAGGCACCACAGGGCATGCCAGTAACCCCAGCTACTCAGGAGGCTGAGGCAGGAGGATCTTGTGGTTGAGCCAAGCCTGGGCAACCTGGCAACACCCAGTCTCAAAATAAAATAAAACGAAGCATGGTGACACACGCCTGTAATCCCAGCCCTCAGGAGGCTGAGGCAAGAGGATCACCATGAGTTCAAGGGCAGCCAAGGCTACATAGAAAATTTAAGAACAGTGTGGGCTTCATAGTGAGTTTCAGGCCAGCCTGAACTACACAGCAAGACCCTGCTCCAAAATTTTAAATAAATAAATAACAGTGGTGTCTCGGTTCACAAACTTAATTTATTCCACAATCCTGGACAAGATGGCCATGTTCATGTTAGTGCAGGAAAGATGGTGACCGTGTTCACCACCTGATACAGAGTTTACAAACACAAGCAAAATTGCTAAATGCTTCTGTTTGTAAACCAAACTGCTCACAAATGAAATTAATTGTTCATGCCCCTGGGTCTGAACCTCTGTGCAGTGCCCTGTGCCTGGAAAACTCAGACTCTTGCACTTGCCCCTCCCCAGCCAGCTCCTACCTAACCCTGTCTCAGCTGTGACCCCTCCCCCAGGAAGCCCGCCCTGATGCCTCACCCTGCGGCAGGTCATCCAACGATGTAGACTCCCACAGCCACCCAGCTGCCTCTTCCTTCATTTATTCATTCAACACACGTGTGGCCTAAATGGTGCCATATGTTCTGGGCCCTTAACGCTGCTTGACCCCATCTCCCCCGACCTGTTCCCTTTGGTCTCTGCTCCAGCCCTGTGGCCTCTGCCATGGTCATACACGTCCCCCAAGGATTCAGGTGATGGGAGCTTGGCTCTCAGTGGGCCTTGTTAGGTGGAGGGACCTTTAAGAGGTGGCCTCAGTGGGCGGTCCTTATGTTATAGTGGGCAGTCCTTATGTCACAGAGGGCATGTCCTTAAAGGGACTGCTTAGCTTTCCCGGTGCTGTTAGCTCTCACCAGAGGGCTGTTAGAAGACAGCAAGCCTGGCCCCTCTCCCTCTCTCTCTGGCTTCCTGTCTCCCTTTTGCGTGGCTCCTGCCATTGTGATGATGTCCATCAATCACCAGGTGCTCACCAGAGCTGAGCTAATGACAGTGCCATGCCCTTGAATCTCCATAACCACGAGCTAAATACTCTTTCATTATGCAGAACTTAGCCCTTTTTTAAATAAAGGCACAGACACTTCATTATAGTAACAGAAGATGGACTAATACAGGCCAGGTGTGGTGGCCCTCACCTGTAATCTCAGCACCAGAGAAGCTGAGGCAGGAGGATTGCTTAAGTTTGAAGTCAGCCTGGGCTACACAGTAAGACCCTGTCTCAACCCTCTCCCCGCTAAAAAGGAAAGAAAATGGACTGATACACCTTTTTTCTTGGTCCTTAAAGACACCAAACATGCTCCTGCCTCAGGGCCTTTGCACTTCCTCACCTGGGATCTGCATGAAGTCTCATTTCCTTCCTTCAGGCGTCTGCTCAAATGTCATCTCCTCAGAGAGGCCTTCCCTGCCATCATCCTGCCCCCATCTGAGGAAGCTTCATTTCACAGCACTTGTCCCCACCTGACATTATATTTGTACCTGTTTTTGAGGGCAGGGACATCGCTACCTTGTTCTCAGCTGTCTGCCAGCATTTTGCATGGAGTCCAGCCCGCAGTAAGGATCTGGTGAAGAAATGAACAGAGGATCTGCATCAGCGGGACTTGGGGCAGCCTGAGTCTGGAGCTGCAGTGACAGCAGAGGCCCTGACACAGCGGTGACAGAGGAGGACAGGAGACGAGGCTGCCAGGTGTCGGGGCAGGGCCAACCCCCATCCCTCCATGGCCAAGTGTCCCAGGCAGACGGTGCCCAGCGCCTGTGCAGCGTCGCAGTCAGACGACTGTCTCTCTTTCCACAGCCTGCAGAGCTGCCTTCCTCACTTCTCGGATGGAAAGAGACCTAGCCCAGCCCGGTAGCTGTTCATGGCCACACAGCTGGAAGAGCCCAAGCTCTAGAGGTTGTTCCTTCCACCACTGGTCACCACTCGACCCTGGCACCCACCCTGGGTATGGTTTCACCTTCCCTCTTTTTCTGGCTCTGCTCTAATGTAGTTGGGAAAGTCATGTGTCATTTTCTAGGCCACCTGACCACTCAGGAAATCTGACATCCATCTTGCACACAGGATTCGCCCAACAGAACTCAGGGTCCCCCTCCCCAAACCTGCTCCCACTCCCGTCTTCCCCATTCAAGCAATTGCCCTTCCACTCTTCCAGTGCCTCAAGCCAAAACTCTGGGGTGCATCTTGATTTCTTTCGGCTCACTGGCACTTCCTATCAGCCAGCAAACCCTGGCCACTCCACCTTCCAAACAGATCCAGAATCACCCACTCGGTCACCTCCACGCCCACCACTCTGCTCTGACCTTTCTGACCTCCCTCCTGAGCTAGTACAGCCACCTTCTTGGTCTCCTGCCTCTGAGGCTCTGGAGCCCATTCTCTGCAGGCAGCCAGAAGGAGCCTCCTCAAACTCGAAGTCAGGGCCATGCACCCTTCTTCACCAGCACTGCCCTACAGAACGCCCTGCAGTGGTGGAAATGTCCTCCAAGTCCAGTTCATGAGCCCCACCACAAGGGACTACTGAGCATCTGAAATATGCCTCGCATAGCAAAATGATTAAATTTTAAATTTTCTGCAATTACCTTATGTAATAGCCACTGTGTTGGTAAAGCTGTAACAGAGCCAGTGAGAATATACATTAGTAATTGATTCCAGCAGCTACTTACCTACCAGTGGGCTTGTCAGTTTCCATCAACATGATAAAGGCATTTAACACACTGATCTCCCTGGGCATGCAGACCTGGACATCACTTGCAAAGGGGAAGCTACAAAAAGGAAGCGGGGAGGAAGCTACTTAAGTGTCCATCCACAGGCACCCGGCCCAGTAAATTATGGTCTGGCCACACAGTGGAATATGATGCAGCTGTTTAAAAAGTAAGATGACAGGACACTTAAAACACAGACAACTAAACAAAAAAAAATAGCTAAATTGAATTTCATCAAAAGTAAAAAAAAAACCAAAAAACTGTTAGTCAAAGGACATTAACAAGAAAGTTAAAAAACAACCAAGATGAGAGGAAACATTTTCAAATCTGATGAGGAATTCATGTCCATAAATATATAAAGAACTCTTACAGTTCAACAGTAAAAAGAAAAAAACTCAATGGTTAAATAGATATTTCTAAAAAAGGATATGAAAAAGATATGTTAATGGCAATTACCACATAAAAAACATACTCTCCATCATTAACCACTATGGAAATGTAAGTCAAAAACACAATGAAATTGCCGGAGATTTAGCTCAGTGGTTTTACTGCCTGCTGTGCAAGCACAAGGACCCGAGTTCGATCCCCAGTGCCAAAAAAAAAAACACAATGAGATACCAGGTCACATCTCTTAGGATGGCTGTAACCCCAAAATGGGAAATAACAAATGTTGCTGAGGAGGTGGAGCAACTAGAACAATCATACATTGTTGGTGGGAATGTAAAATGGTGCAGCTGCTGTAGAAAATAGTTTGATGGTTGTATTGGTCAGCTTTCCACTGCTGGAACCAAATGCCTGGCACCTGCAGCTTAAAGAAGTTTATTTGGGCTCACAGTTTCAGAGGTTTCAGTCCATGGTCATCTATCTGGCTCCAAGGCAGAAACATCATGATGGAAATGCATGGAAAAGCAAGGTAACTCAGCTCGAGGTATGCAGGAAGCAGAGAGCAGGGAAGGAACCCCAGTAAGGAAAGGCCTAGGGAGTCAGGTATAGTCCCCAAGGTCACTCGCCCATGACCCACTTCCTGCAAGCGGGCCCCACTTCCTAATATCCATTCAGCTACAAACTCATCAATGGTTTAACCCACTGATGAGGTCAGTACCCTCACAATCCAATTGCCTCTCCGAGAGTCTCTTAATCCAGTGAAGCTGACGATAAAGATTAACTGGCATGCTGATTCTCGAACAGCAGACATTTGACTCGGTAACTTGACTCTTAGGTATATCCCTACAGGAAACAAAAATGCATGTCACACAAAAACACATGCACCAGTGTCCACTGCAGCATTATTCACGGCATCCAAAGCATGGAAACAAACCAAATGTGCATCAACCAGATGAATAAACAAAATGCACCACATCCATACAGTGGGGTGGTATTCGGCCTTGGAAGGGGATGGGGCCCAGCACATGCTTCAGTGTGAATAAACCTTGGAAACATTATGCTAAGAGAAAGAAGCCAGACACAAAAGGCTACACGTTACCTGATTCCATACAGGAAATGTCCACTGCAAGCAAATCCACAGAGGCAGAAAGCAGATCCGTGGTTGCCAGGGCCTGAGGGAAGAGGGAAATAGGGAGTGGCAGCTAATGGACATGGACTTTCTTTCAGGGGCGATGAAAATGTTCTCTACTTAGACAACAGTGATTACACACCTTTGTAAATAAACTAAAAATCACTGAATTGTATAGGTATGTAATTTATATCATAAAATAAAACGGATGAGGAAACTCTGTAACTGTACTGTCAGGGAAGGATAAAAAATAACAGGACCGGGGACATGGCTCAGCGGCACCTCGCCTGCCTGGCAAGCGAAAGGTCCTGAGTTCGATCCCTGGTACAAGAAGCAACAACAACAACAATCCAAGAGCAGAATACACATATCTTTGCTGTGAAAATGGAAGGACAACACTATGTACTCATTTTGCCCCAGCAAAACGTACTCCAGGCCCAGCAGGGGGGCTGAAGAAGGAAGCCAGGGTAGGAGCCCATGGCACATCTTCTTAATGAGTACCCCTCTATCTCATCTTCAGCTTCAAGCTTGGGAGTGTCTTACCTAGTAACAGTAAAAGTTTCTTAAAAATAAAAGAAGCAGAGGTGGTGGTGTGTGCCTGTAATCCCAACTACCGGGAGGCTGAGGCTGGAGGATCTTGAGTTTGAGGTCAGCCTGGGCAACATAGCAAGACTGCAAGTCAATAAATAAATAAGTCAGATCATATGAACCCTCTGCTCAAACCCTGCAGGGAAGGGACTTCCCAGACCAGCTTGAGAAAAAAACCAAAGACCAGTGATCCTGTTCGAAGCCTCACCCCACGTGCCTCTCTCCCCTTCTCTCCGACCCCCTCAAGGCCCTGGTCCTCACTGCACAGGCCCCCTTGATGTTTCTGAATTGCGGCCAGCACATTCCTGGCTCTCGACCTTTCCCTGGTGCTCCCTCAGCTGGGAGTGATGTCCCCAGACATTTGCACAGGTGGTGCTTCCTCTCCTTCAGGTCTCGGCTCGAATGTCACCTTTGTGACCAGACCTTCCCTGAGCCCGTCCCTGCCTCTGTTCTCCCTGTCTTCTCAGAAGAGCGCCTGGGTCAGGTTGGTGCTTTGCAAGCAAGCACGAGTGAGTGAAGTAATGTGTCACCTCAGGCTGGCTGCCTGTGTAGCAGCCACTGGCATCCCTGGTGCTGGCCACTGACAGTCTCCAGATGCCCGAAGTAACTAGCCACCCCAGCCTGCTTGGAAGGCTCTAAGACACAAGGTGGGCTTTGGACGGTGCTTCCCTGAAATCCAAGATCCAGCCACCACAAAGCAAGGCACGGTAACCTCCTGGGTTAAAAATACAACCTTGCAGTTAGTAAATGATACAAGGCCAGTCAACTTCACCAGCATCTGCAGGGACTTGGGCGGCAGCTGATCCCTGCCATCTGAAGGCGGCTTTTGATTCCTGAGAGGTGTGGGAAGATGGGGAGGGGGCACTAGGCTGACTGGGACATTGGCCCCCCAGGGGAGAAACAGCCCTGGGCTGACTGGCAGCTGAGGAATCTGGGGCTTAAACACTCAGAGAAAAATGAAGATGGAGACTCTAAGAGAAACCTGGAAGGAGATTTTACCTCCTCTCCCTGATCTCCTGGCCAGGCATCTCCTGGGTCCCTTAGAGCCTCTAGGGCAGCTTCTGATCCCACTGTACGGAAGTTATCCTGGCAGTCACTGTGTACTTCTGAGCCAGCTAGACCTAGGCTAAAAGCCTGTTGCTGTCATTTACCTGTTGAAATATTAAAGGCATTTGGCTTTACCTTAATTCTTTCAACAAGCATTTTTTGAGCTGCTACCTGCCAAATGGTGATGCAGGTAAGGGGTTGGGTTGGGGATGTTCTCAGAAACAAAGCAAGTTTTATGCCCTCAGGAGCTTGTTTGTGGCCCAGGAAACGGGAACTGCAAGTTCCCTGCCCGTGTCAAGCCTGCGAAGACAACACAGGTTGATGCCACAGTGACTGGAGGAGAGGGCAACGGAGCAGGCCCTCCGCAGAGCACCTCTGAAGAGGGCCTATCATTAAATGGAATGTTGCTCTCTGGCTCTGGACCGGCAGTTATTAAACACTCAACAAATCTTGGAGATACCTATAGTCATTTTCATCCTGTCCCCTCTCTCGGAAGAACATGAGCTCCTGAGGCCGGATGGGGACCAAGCTGGAGGCTTCTCCCCGCGGGGTGCACAGCACCGAGCTGGCACACAGCTGGCGCACACAGTAGGCTCGATGAGCGCTCCGAGTTCCAGCTCCGGCCTTTCTCTCAGGATCCTCCCACACGATCGGCGCTTAACGGTGCTTGCTGTAGAAATGCCAGTCTCCGGGCCGGGTCTCCGCCCACTGCTTCGACCTGTCGGCCCAGACCGAGGTGGGCAGTGACGCTCCTGGGCTCTCGAGAGGCCGCAGCCTCGCCGGCTGCGGGCGGAGCGGGACGGGCGGGGACACGCTGCCGCCCCATGCTTCCGCGCCCAGCTGCGCCCAGCTGCGGCCCCGCCCCCGGCGGAGCGGTTGGCTACGGCTCGGCAGCCGCCGATTGGCCCGCACAGTTCCGGCGCGGGCCCCGATTGGCTGTGACGCGCGCCTGGAGAAGCCCCCTCCCAGGCCGCCGCTGCCGCCGCCGCTCCCGGCGCTGGGCGGTCATTGGGCGGCGTGATCTTGCCGCGGTTCCGCGGCCGTGCAGCCGCCAGCAGATCGCATCGAGAGGGCTGGGAGAGTGGCCATGGCGGGCGCCGAGGACGGCCCGGGCCCGCAGCCGGAGCTCGATGAGGACGAGGCGGCGTATTGCCGGCGCTGGGGCGCGCAGCACGCCGGGGCTCGCGAGCTGGCCGCGCTCTACTCGCCAGGTAGGACCTCGGCCCCCCTGGGCCTGCAATCACCAGCCCGGACCCTGGCTCCCCAGGTGGAGAATCCCAGCCTCGGGTCCAGATGGGGAGCTCCAGCTTTGGTTTCTAACTTGCAGATAGTGGCCCTAGGTCCAGGGAACCCACCCTGGCGTCTCCTTCCAGCCTCGTGTCGGAATCCCAGCCCTGGGGCTTTCTGGCTGCGGAGACACTCCCCGGATCGGGGAGCTACTCTATCCGCTCCCAGGCCACGCACAGCCCTCCGCAGATTAGAACCCCGGCCCCAGGGCAACTTGGGCTGCTGCGAGCGGCCCCAGACTTAGGAACCTTCACTCCGGGGCCCAGCCCAGTGCAGCCCCTCAGCTACAAGCACTGTCCCCGGCTCCCTAAAGTCGCATCCCCTCCTGGGTTTCCCAGATCGAGAATCTACAGCCAAGCGTGGCATCTGCGTCCTCGCCAGGACCCCAGCTTCAGTGACCTCATCCCCTCCCCGCCTCCAAACCTGGGAATGTCAGCTCCTTTCTCAGGGAACACTAACTTGGGAGCTCCTGGGCTGCAGAGTGTGCCAGACACTGGCACACCCCAGAGCCCCGTCCTAGTTCTTGCTTCAGTGACTGCCGCCTTCGATCGTCTTTCCTTACCCTTTGGGGGCGGACCCTCGGGGTGGGGAGCATCGGCCCTCCCCACCACATTCCTGGATTCCAGGCGGTGGGGGGATGCAAAGCCCCCAGCTGAGGCTCCCTTCATACACAAGCCCCAAGTCCAGCTTTGCCCCTCCCCCACGTCCATGTATGGATCTCCTCCGTTAGGATTTCGGGTGCGGAGCCCGCGAAGGCATGGTCCCCAGACCGGATCACAACATAGAGACTCTGGCTGCAGCTCTGCCCTTCCCCACAGGCCGAGGTCCCTGGCTGCTTCTGGCTTTGCCCACCGTCTTGCTGTAGCAAGCAGTAGCCCCCATCCTGTTTCTGACTCCCCAGTGCGCCCCAGGAATCTCACTGAGGGCTCCTCCATGCCCTGCACTCTCTGGGAGGGCCCAGTGACCCCAGGGGTTCAGGAAGTGCCTTTGAGAACTCATCTGGTGACTGGGAGCCGCCAGGTCCCTCTGCCAGGGTGTCGCTGTCACATCCTGGTTGTCTGACATCTGTCACTGGGACTGCACTGCCCTGGGCTGGGTGGGCCTGGGGCTGCCATACCCCACCCCCACCTTGTTCATGTAGGTTTGATGCAACGTCTGCCAGCGTCTGCCGTAAGTGGCTGCATGACCTTGGGCCATTTCCTTTCTCTCACTGGTCCTAGATCACCGGAGACTGTTCCTGCCTTGCAGTTCCAGGTTATGTGTACAGTCTTGCGAACCTCACTTGGGCACTTGGTCCATGCTGCCATGGTTTCTTCCAGCCACACCCAAATCACCCAGCCCCTGGATATATGGGGGGGCCGGGCATCCAGACTACTGAGCTATGTGAACCTGGGCCAAGCCACTTCCCTTCCCAGCTTTCCTTTTGTCCCTTCTAACCAAGTGCAAAAGAAAGTTTGCCTGCCCCTTTGTGTTAGGAAAAGAAACAGGGTCTCCGAATGTGCAGTGCCGGGGTGCGGGACACACCCTCCTACAGTCAGCCAGGAGCCCAGGAGCCCGAGCAGTGCTGTGTGTGAGCTGGAGTGAGCTGGCTTTCTCACCTCTCTGGCCGTCAGGCTCCCCACCCAGGAAGTGTAAGGAGTCAAAGCCCCCCTTTGGGGGCCACATCTGCCCCCTGCCTGCTTTCAACAGAACAGCTCCCAGGCAGTGGGCTTCCCCAGGGACTGCCATCTCACCCCGGTCACCGCTGTCCAGTTCTGGGTTCCCGGAGTGCCTTTCTTTCTGAAGAGTAACCACACAGGAACCTGAGGCTGCAGTGTCCCCTGGGTGCTCCAAACCAGCAATCAGTGCCTTCTCTCCCCTGACCCGGAAGGGGAAGGGAGACTAACCAAACAGGTTCCTCGCAATTCCTTTCCATAGGCTTCCCTTGCTCTGTCTCTGGCATGGTGCTGTGTGGCCTTGGAGAAATAAATAACTTGACCTCTCCGGACTTGGGCAGGAAAAGGAGAGGCCAGGGCCAACATATATTGAGCACGTACATGCGAGTCCCTGAGGGCAGAGCATCAAACAAAACAGAAAAACTGGAGCTGGCATTTTAGTAAGACAAGCAGTAAACCCCCAAATAAGGGAAATGTCTGACCTGCTTAGTGGTGACAAGTGCTAAGAAGCAAATGCATAGCAAGAAAGGAGGAAGGGAGAGTAGTCAGGAGGTGGGTGATGTAGACAGCAGCCAGTTCAGGCCCTGCTGAGCAGGTAACATTTGAACAGAGACCTGAAGGGAGAAGAAAGGAAGGAGCCTCGAGAATATTTGAGGAAGAGTTGATCCAAACCAGGGAAGCAGCAAGTGCAAAGGCCCTGAGGTGGCCACACTCCTGGCACAATTGCAGAGCACTGAGAAGGGCAGACTAGAGCAGAGTGGGCAGAGAAGAGTGGGAGAGATTCCTGGGCTCTGGGACTGAGCTCTTGAGATTCCTGGTGCCGGGAGTGGTCTGGCCCTTGACAGCTGACAGCAGTCCTGAGGGCAGCGAACTAGCAGCCTTTATTGAGCACTGACTGTGTGTAGGGCACTTTCCGCACATGCTCTCATCTCACTGTCACTGCAGTGGTGCGAAATGCCCTGGTATGGACTCCATTTTCCAGAGGAGGAAGCTGAGACCCTATTGGCCCCGCCTCAGCCGCACCTGCGCATGCGTTCTTCCATGCATTCATCCTGATTGGGGTCAGGTGGCACCTGCCCCAGCGGCTGGGAAGACCCTTGGGTTGGGGCCGTCTGTTGGGTTTGCCTGGGTGCCTGGGGCTTGAGCGCTCCGTCCACCTCTGTAGGAATATCACGAGGCTCGGCAGAGGGGTCCGCCCGAGGTCACACCACAGTTCCTGCAGCCCAGGCCTGGAACTCGGTGGGGACATTCTGGGTTCCAGACTCTACCTGCCCTGTGGAAGCAAGCCGCTCGGGGCTGGGCGTGCAGGGTAGACGTGCAGGGCCCGTGCCAGGAGGCTGCATGGGGCAGAGGGGTTACAATGCCTGGTCCTGTGGGCCCCAAGTGTCTGGCCAAGGAGTTGGGGCCTGGTCCTGCGGGACCCGGGAGCCACAGAGGGTCCTGCACAGCCCCCGACTCAGGGTTTGAGCTTCCTAATAAGGAGCCACCCCCTGCTAAGTACCAGGCTTGTGAAGGGCCTGAGGTGGGTGTCTCTTCCAGAGGTGCCAGCCGGAACCTGGCTGTGCCACTTCTCAGGGCCTGGGCTCCACGGGTGGATGCAGCCTGGAGAGGTGTGGGTCCAGCTGTCTGTCTCCCTGGCCAGCTGTGGCCGCTTCTGCCCCAGAGGGCACAGGAGCATTTTGAGGGGTTCAGGGTGTCAGGAACACAGGGTGGGTGGTGCGGAATGGAGCGGGCATCCACTGCAGGACAGGGTGGGACAAGAGCAGGGTCTCAGGAGCCTGGGGTTCACCATGTGGCCTCACCCAAGCCCGAGGGTAAGGCCCAAAGCCGCCTGGGGGCCCTGTGTCCAGCCAGGCCTGGTCCCTGCCACATGCCAGCCAAGCTTGCTTTGTCTCCTGTCCCTGGTGATGCTTTTTCTCTCCCCATCTCCTGTCCCTGCTCTTTGTTCTGTTGGTCTCTGCTTCCTGCTGCCATCTGTGGTCCCCCTTTGTCTCTGGTCCCTGCCCTCTCTGTACCTCCTCTGTCCGCCATGAGCTCAGGGGACCCCTGGTGTCCAGGGCTGGTGGAAGCATGGGTTGTTCAGGGCTCGTCTTGACCTAAGTGAGAAGAGGCAAGCCCGATGCCAACCCCTTGGCTGTGGCCTGCCCCCGACCAAGCAAGATGGCAGAGGACTGGCACAACCCCCACTCCCCCCACCCCAGGCCAGCAAGGGGTCACTGCTGTAACTTGGCTCATGTCCTCCCCAGCCAGGGCTGGTGGGAAATGGGCTCCAGCACTCCAGCTGGGGGGCAGGCGGGCCTCCCTGTCCTCCGAGCACAGCCTGGCCTCAGCCTGCACATCTGTCTGTCCAGTGACCACCTGACCCCACCAGCCTGCAGGGCTGACGGCCCCTGCCATGACTCTGGTAGCCCTTGAGCAACTTGGGCCAGGTCCAGGCTATTTCATCCCTCTGAAGGATGGGGAGGACGGTCCCCAGGGTTTGGCGTGACAGACATTCGCAGCCCTGAATGCAGCCGGGCCAAGGTGCCCCATGAAGCTGTTTGTCATCACCTGTGTATTTCTCAGGGGCCAGGACTGAAGTACTCAGTCTGCAGAGGTGGAGTCTCAGTGGCCAGATACTCAGACTGCAGGGACCTTCATGGCGCGGGGAGAGAGCCGGCCACCTCTGAGGCCTGAACATGCAGGCCACTGTGTCCCGTGTAGGAGTCTAGCATCCACACCCAACTCTGAGCTGCAGGTTCCTCGTCTGGATGAGCAGATCACACAGTCCCTTCCTTGACAGCTACGACTTGAGTGAGAGCCCATGCCTCGGGGGGACACTCTGATGACCACAGGAGCCTGACCAGGGCTGCCACCAAAGTGCAAGGACACAGGGAAGGGAGGGGACCTGTGAGCCTGGAGCCAACATCTGATGGGGCACCCAGGATCCTGAGCCCTTTGAGGATGCAGGAGTTTATGTGATTTTTAAATTTATCTCTCTTTTGTTTTGTGTCTTGTGGGGTTTTGAGATTTGGTCTGTTTGTTTCTGAGCTGGGGCCTTACTCCATAGTCCTTGAACTCACAATCTTCCTGATCCTCTTGCCTCAACCTCCCAAGTGCTGGGATCACAGTTGTGCACCACAAACCGGCTGTTGAGCTCACTTTTTAAAAAACTACGTAAAACCTGCCAGCGGGACCAGTTCACAGCATCTCAGATGCGGGCCACACCCAGTTCCCTGTGTGCTGGGCAACAGGTGTGAGCCAGGTGATGGTTACTGTTACCTGGTCCTGCCGCGTGGGCTCTGCCACTCTGTCCCTGCAGGCTGCAGAGCGGGCTGTCAGGGAGGGTCTACCTGTCCTGTATCACAGGCTGCATCCCCCTGTTCTTGCTCTTTGTCTCTACTCCCAGGGTTTCCTGCTTCTCAGCCCTGGCCACAAACAGGAAACGGAAAGTGGAAGGCCCTACTGGGCCTAATCGGGTGACGCCAGGTTGGGGCTGCTGGGCCAGGAAGGCCCAAGGGAAACAGTCCAACTGAGCAAGGAATGAGGAGCTCTAGGCCCGCTTCTGCTGCTGTGCAGCCTCTGTTGAGGTCCTTGCCCTTTCTGGTCCTTAGTGTCCTCTGCTATACACTATGGTGTACTGTCCTCTGAGCTTTGATCTTCCCGTGGGATAGGAGGTAGGTATCTGGCTGTCCTGGTTCTGGTTCAGGATGAGGCAGGAGCAGTGTGCTGTTATTTGACTTGGACCAGACCTATGCACGTGCTCGCTCACTCTCTCTCTCTCTCTCTCTGAGACTCAGTTTCCCTGTCTGAACAAATGGGCAACCTAATACTTCCTTCCAAGGTATGTTGGTGAATGTAGCCCGGGAGTTTTCCTCTAGGACTGTGGTTGGGAGTTTGTTGATTCCACAGGCTGGTCTGATGCCTGCGCCCAGCACCAGGGCCCTGCCTGGTGAGTGCACCAGACATGGTCCTGGGCAGCCTGAGTTCACATTCCCATAGGGCTGTAGCCCTGAGCAGTAGGCGCTGGGTTGGGGGAGCACAGAGGTGGGGGAGGCATCCTGGATGGCTTCCGGCTTCCTGGAGGTGGAGGTTTGGGGAGCAGCATGCCCTGGCCCCAGCCCCACCCCAGTCACATGGCTTTTTTTTTTTTTTTTTTTTTTT